CCCGCCCCTGGTCAGTTTCAGCAGCAGCAGCAGTGGACTTGGGGAAGCCGCTCCAACTGTCCGGAGCATTTCCGGGTTCCAGTTGGTGCTGGACGATCGGGAGTGCCGGACCATCGGGGGTGCCAGACCACTGGATGCCGGACAATTGGAGTTTTACTGGATCATTTTCATTATTTTTTTTCCATAAAGGCAAAGGCACTTCAAGTAAACTCCCCCTCCCCTTTCACTCGCTGCTGGGTCACAACAGCCTTATCCCTGCCCTGTCCAGCACTTCCCTATGGACCAGCCCCCCTCACTCCTGACCCACAGGGGGAGCAGGGTGCAAGGACAGCGCAGAGCCAGAGAGGTGCAGGAACCGGAGTGCAGGGGTGGTGCAGGGAATGGGCGGCGCAGAGCCAGAGAGCCGCAGGGAACAGGGAGAGCAGGGGGACCAAGGGGCAGGGTGCAGGGGCGGCGTGGGGAAGGGGCGGCGGGAGCCAGATGGGGCGCGGGGCGGGCGCAGCGAGCCGGGCGGTCGGCAGGGAGCGGTCTCTCGCCGGCAAGGGGCTGGGGCCGTGGCAGGACTGGAGCCGGCGGGGGGGGGCCTGGCTGTGCCACGCACCGCCGGCAACTCCCAGGGAAAACCGGCCAGAGCCGAGCTGCCTTTGAGCAATGAAATGTATTTCAAGTGCTGCTCTCCCGCCAGCTTTCAGCTGCAAACAGCTCCCTGCTGGGCATACGGTCCACTCTGGACTCTGCTCTCCCTGACAGCCTCCGGGTCCTCCCACTCTGAAATAGCCTCCTTCCTCCCCTGCGATCCTCCTGGCCATTTTACTAAGGCAATGCAGACCTCTGCACTCAGAGAGCAGACCAGGGCAGCCAGCAGGAAGCAGAGACTCTGGCAGGGAAATCCTCAATTTCAAATTAAAAAAAAAAAATCAACATTTCCCATGCACCACATTTCTGAAAGAATCGCTCGTTCCAGGTCAAACTACTCCTTTCGCTCCCACTTCCAACTTTTAAAACCAGTAACTTTTTAATTTCTAAAAACCTCCCAATGAATTCACTTTTGAAAAGCTGTTTCCCAATGAAACATCCTGAACCGAGCCAGCCCTACGTGGCATGTGGGGTATCTGGGCCCTGCCGCAGTGCTCGGTCGGGGGGTTCCCTACGCAGATTTCCTCCGAGCAGACAGGCTTTTCTGCACACTCACATTTTCCCGAAAGGACAGGGTGTGTTGCCAACCCATTTTGCAGAACAAACCCCGCCCAGTTCTAGGCAGCAGCAGCACCGAGCTCCTGTGGCCCTTTAAAATCGGCGGGACGGGGCATTGCCGGGGGCAGCTGCTTATCTGGAAATGCCAACCCAGGAAATGTGCCACCCCAAGCACGGGCTGGATTTGCTGGTGCCTAGAGCCGGCCCTGCCCACAACTCCGCTTCAGGTCCCCTCCTTTCGCCATCTCTGCCTCAGAGTTTTTGTGGCAGTGACAGGGCCGCTCACCATTACCTTGTCCCCAGTAACCACGCGACCTGGCGGGGGCAGCTGCTTATCTGGAAATGCCAACCCAGGAAATGTGCCACCCCAAGCACGGGCTGGATTTGCTGGTGCCTAGAGCCGGCCCTGCCCACAACTCCGCTTCAGGTCCCCTCCTTTCGCCATCTCTGCCTCAGAGTTTTTGTGGCAGTGACAGGGCCGCTCACCATTACCTTGTCCCCAGTAACCACGCGACCTGGCGGCACCACAGGGCGGCTGGAACTGCACTCATGATCATGCCGTTGGTTGCTACAGGGGGAAGTGACCGCAAAGCCCGTAACCAACGTCACCGGCACCATACTCTCTCCACCGCTGAGAGGACACCCTTACAGCCCATGAAATCTAACCACAAGATCGCAACCGAGCCAGCAGACTACGAGGGTGCCGTGCAGTCCTCAACTGTGATGATGCTGATGAAGCCAATTGACATCTCTCTGCCACGAACTATGATAAAGAACTAAAGGACGACCCCATGCAACTTCCCCAAGAACTTCAGGTACTAGCACACCCTTCCTAATCCACTTCAAGAGAAACTTCATACCTTCCTGCCCCAGGGACCGTCGACATTCGTTCCAAGACACACGAAGACGGGAACCAGACAGACCCACCATACCGGACCACAGCTCTCTTCCTGAAAGAATACAGGGACTCACAGAAACCACCCTTACAACAACCCACCACACAAGCCTCCTTCCTCCAGGACACGCTGACTCGCTCCACAACCTTCACAACTGCCCTCAAAACAACATCCTTGCCACCACTTCCCCATACAGTATCCCTCACAATGACGGCAGAGCTGCCTCCCTCCAGTACGTACAAGACAGTGGACAGCCCTCACATGTCTGCTCCCAACGCATTCATTCCATCCTCACCCACAGCAATTCAATAGGCACTTTCTGCCAGCCACAGGTACCATGCTGGCTCCTCAATATGCCAAGCCCTTCATGGGCCACCTGGACGAAAAGCGTCTGACCAAACAAAGCACAACCCCAATGACATACCTGAGAGAAAACCGGTGACATTTTCATCGTCTGGACAGACAGCTTACACTCCTATAGATTTCCACCCCAACTTCAACAGCCACCAAGGCCTTTAAACTCTTTCGGGAACACTCCCACACTAGCGTCAACGTCCTGGATCCCAACCAGCTTCAACAATGGAACCCTGCAAGACAACCACACAGACCCAATGGCCACCGTTAGCACTCCAAGAAACCGGTTCTCCACAGCCGGGCACTCAGATACCACACAACCTGCCGGAAGGGGACAGTCCAGGAGATACTTAAAACCACCTTCACCAAACAAGAACACTCCCCCAGAAGAGTAGATTGCATCATGGAACGGCCCACCCAAATGCCCCAAGATAACCTGCTTCAATACAGAAATACACCCCTAATGCCATCTCCTGCCCTACATTGGAGCCCACAGGGGGTATCACCACACTACAGCCCGTACTCAACAGGGATCCCATCCGTCCTGAACCCCCACTGCTTACATTCACCCCCCAAAACTCTCCAAACTCATCATCAAAGCAAGCCCTCCGCAGACCACAACGCACCATCCCCAACCAGAACAGATGCAAAACCTGCAGGCATCGTTCCACACCTACCACAATCAACACCTCCCCCCAAAGCCATTTTCAAGACTCATGGAACCCACCATGCCTGCTACAACATGCAGCGCACCTCGGCCAGCACTCTGTGGGTGGAACCATCGCTGTGCTGCCCCGAACGCACACAGGAGGGTGGCGAGAGTAGACACCTCGTCGCCGGGGGAGGAACCCTTTTCACAGTGCAATCAATCGCTGTCCTCAGGGAAACGTGCACAGCGCTCAACAGCAACAGCAACAACCTGCCCATGATGCCGAGGTGCTAGTGGGCCACTTTGCTTGAAAATGGCCCTGTGTCTGCGCCGGATGAGCTGGCCCATCCCGTGATTAGCTTTGACACCTCGAGTACCTCTCCCAGACCACAGAAGAGCTAAGTGTGGCTCGAGAGCCTGTCTCTTCCCTCTGCCCCAACAGAAATGGTCCAACGACAGACTCCCCCTCCCCCTCACTGCGTCTCTAATACCCTGGAGCTGGCGCAGCTACAACACACCATGGTCAGGAGAACACGTTTTACGTTCACCTGGGATTTATCTAACTCTGGCCGTGTCTACACTGGCAATTGAGGGACAAACCTTGTGTCATTCACAGGTGCTTAACTCCCTCCCCCTTAAAAGTTTTGCTGCAGCAAGTGGCACCATAAACAGCGCATTGTTGGCAGGAGCACTCTCCTGTTGGCCATGTGAACCTCGTTTGCAAGGGGTGGGCAAAAGTGTCGACAAACAGCATTTAGCCTGCCCGACTTTTAGTGACACGGCTGTGTAGTGTCGCCAGGGGCGGTGTAGTGTCGCCAGGGGCGGTGTAGTGTCGCCAGGGGCGGTGTAGTGTCGCCACATCCTTACACAGAGGAACACTGAGATCAGACTGAGACTTGCTCAAGTGCTACCTGACCCTGATCTAACCTCAGTCTTTCCCCTAGTGCAGACAAAGGTTACCTCTCCCCTCTCACTTCTAGATACTCAGTCCAGGCAACCCCCCAGGACTCAGCACAGCCGACTGGCCTGTATTCAAATTGTGCCTCCAGGGGGTGCTCAGGGGTGTTAGACAGTGGACAAGTAGACCATTTTGTACCCTTGTATCTAGTTCAAAATTCCAGATGTTTTAAGAAAACTTATTTCTGAGTTTATAACCCATGACTCCATCGGAAGGGCACAGCTCTGTAATCCCACTTACACAGTCAGGACTTTCCATCCCATTTCATACCGTGACAAAGCTCCAGCCTTGTCTCAGTGGGTCCCACACTTCCTGGTGGGTTGTGCTTGCCTCAGAAGCTCTCACCCTCGACGTGGCCTTTGTTGTGCTTACCCAGGGAGCAGGGACTTGCTTATTCTGTTGCCAGGGTATCTGCCTTCTACTACTCTTCTGTAGAGGGGCCTGCAACTGTGGGGCCTATTTCCATTCCTGCATCTGCTCACATATCCAGGCAGAGTTCCACTGGGTGGCGTCCTCTCTCTCTCTCGAGACCTTTGAGGGGCAGTGGGCGCTGTCCGGGGTTCTCTGCTCGGTGTCTCCATCCGGTTCCCTTGTTTTAGCCCTTTGACCCTCACACCTGTCCCTGTTTTCCTTTTATTTGTCCCAAATAATTACTTGGTTTCCTGGGTTCAGTGGACCCTCCTCACATGCTGGGGGGAGGTCCGTTAGATGTGGACAGGCTAACGCCCGTCCACCTCCCAGACTCCAATAGGCACCCCTGCTCTGTCACAGGACTTATCCTCCATTAAACAACAACAACAACAACAACAACAACAACAACAACAACAACAACAACAACAACAACAACAACAACAACAACAACAACAACAACAACAACAACAACAACAACAACAACAACAACAACAACAACAACAACAACAACAACAACAACAACAACAACAACAACAACAACAACAACAACAACAACAACAACAACAACAACAACAACAACAACAACAACAACAACAACAACAACAACAACAACAACAACAACAACAACAACAACAACAACAACAACAACAACAACAACAACAACAACAACAACAACAACAACAACAACAACAACAACAACAACAACAACAACAACAACAACAACAACAACAACAACAACAACAACAACAACAACAACAACAACAACAACAACAACAACAACAACAACAACAACAACAACAACAACAACAACAACAACAACAACCTCCCCCCCTCACCGGCCCGAGTCCGTCACGTGTCCTCCCCACGATCAACACTCCGGGGCAGGCACCTGGGATGCCTGACAATGCATACGTGGGAAGCCATCGGTGCTGCCGTGGTGGCTCCCAGCTCAGGGCTGCGCACCAAAGAGGAACGGTTACCGGGAGAAGAACAATCTGGTCACTTGCATTCTGCGCCTTGTTCCGCTGCGTCCACTGAAGAGGGGCACGGCTGGCCGCGAAGATACATTCTGCCCCAGCAGGTAGCTATGCAGTTTCCACGGCCCACTGACCAGCGAGGCGCTCTCAGTCAGCCACTGTGTATTTCTGTTGCTTCAGTAGGAGGCTCTTGCCGAGATGGTCCTCCTGCCCACCATCTGCGATAGCACTATCCCAACCCTCCCTCGGATGGGTCGGTTTGCAAGAGAAGTCCCTTGGTGAAATCTGGGGCCAGCAGCATGGGAGTACTGCAGGGCGCAGTCTGCACGTCTGTCGAGGCCCTCTGCTGCGTCCGACCATCTCACCACTTCAGGTCCACAGGCCTTCCCCAGGTCTGCCAGGGAGCGTGCCTTGGGGCGAAGCGGGGATAACGCTGGGCGTACCCCACTACACTAGGAACACCAGGACTTGTCTCCTGCGACTTGGTTGGGGCCAAATGTTGGGTGGCCTCTACCTGATTTAGTCGGGGTTTTACCAGACCATTTCCTAGAGCGCAGCAGAGATATCCACCCTCTGCGAGTGCTAGGGCGCACCTGGCAGGGTTGTAAGGTACCAAGGACTATTGGGAGAGAAAAGCCCCCCCACGTATATTTCACAGCAGCAGGGGGTTTCGGAACGCCCTTCCCTGTGAGAAAAGGGCTAGCCTCCACGTTCGGTTCCCCAGCCCCTCCTCCCCTGCGAACGCTGCACCTGAGCACCTGTCTCCAGTGTTTTACGACGAGGCGCGGCAGTGCTAGTCACACCGCCAGGCGGGCAGCTGAGAGATGGAGGCTGAGTGGGCCGAGGACACCCCGGGAGTCTGTGGAAGAGCCGGGAAGTGAACCAGTGACGCCTGAGCCCCAAGCTAGCACCTAACCATGGGGCTTCCCGCTTCCCTCCTGGGGCAAAGCAGTAACTCCCTCCCCAGCCACTGCTCCCAGGAGGCGACCAAGTGCCAGCACGAGGCCAGGCAGAGGTGCTAGAGGCGGTGGCTTTGACCAGTGCTTTCCTCACACCGTGGCACTGCCCTAGGCCACTGTTCCCCAGGTGCCAGGAGCTCCGCCCTCCGACAGCGCCCAGCAAACTGCTACCCACTCCAGACACTTTCACCCTGTGCGCATTGCCGGTCCACAGCCTAGTGAGGTCAATGGGAGGGCTCCCACCGGGTTAGACCCCAGAAACAAGGCAGACTCCTCTACAGCAGTCAGTGTCTTACCTGCGAGTGCTACTTACCAATGGCAGGGAAGTTCCTTCGGTACGTGAACCAGAGCCGAGAGGTCACATCCAGCAGGATCGCCTCCTTCTCTGAGGGTTTCCAGAAACAGACACACATGTGACATCCCCGAGAAAGCCACCGACCCTCCCTAACTCCTACCACTCAGCCACTTCCACGGCTGAAAGCGCCCAGCTTGACAGGGGCAGGGCTAGTGGGTGAAGGACGGGCAGTCAAAAATCCAGCCTGCAGGGCAGGAGAGGCCAGGGAAGAGAAACAGTCTTTACTACTTCAGCGTCCCCTCTCCAGTGACAGCCAGCCCTACCTACAAGCATGGGAGGCTGCCTGCCCAGCCCAGAATGTGGGTGGGAAGGAGTTCCTACAACCCCTGCTGCGAAAACATGACCATCTTGTGTCAACGTGCAGCGGGGCTGAGGAGCAGCATGGCAGTCCTGGCAGCATGCCACGGAGACCACGGCAGGAGGCCTGCACGCCAACAAGCAGGGACTGCCCTGCGGCAGGAAGCGCTTTAGAAAAAGCTGGGATCACAGGAGATGGGCTGAGGCCCCCCAGGCCACGGGACAGATCCAGCCCCTGCTTAATTTCATCCTGCCCGCGGCAAGTCTCCATGCTGCGAGCCAGAATCCCTGAGCCTCGGAGCCTGCCCACGGGGCGGGAGCTGCGAACGCTGCCTTGCAGCAACCTGGGCAGCTCTGCCTGCAGCCGCCATCCCCACAGCTCCTGTGGCCGGGAATCACGGGCAATGGGAGCCCAGAAAGCTGCCTGCATCCCCCAACGGGCCACCGTGACCTGCTGGCTGCTTTGGAAACCAGGAGCTGCTGGAGTTAAGTGCCCCACCCCCCTTCTGCACCCAAACCCCTGCCCCAGCCCTGAGCCACCCCCCAGGCCTCACCCCAACCCCCTGCCCTGAGCTTGCTCCACACCTGAAACCCCTTGGCCCCAGCCCCTTCCTGCACCCCGACCCCCTCATCCCAAGCCCCACCCCATAGCTGCAGCCCAGCTGTAGCCCTCGCCCCCTCCCAACCCTCTGCCTCCGCCTGGACCCCTTCTGACATCCCTCATTTTTAGCTCCATCCCAAGTACAAGACTGCCAACATCCCCAACGGGATGGATCGGACACCACTGTGTTCACACCAATGGCATCGGGGGGGACGTCAGCAGCCCTAATCCCCGAGCCTTAGGGAAGCCCCCAGCCTCCACCTCCTCCCCCCCATGGGCTTTTGTGTGGCCCACGACTAGTTTCTGGGGGTTCGTGGCCCCGGTTGGAAAAAGGCTCCCCCCCAAGACGTAAACATTCAAGCCACGACGGGGCTGGTTAGAGGTCGGTAAAGCCCTCGAGCCCTGTGCGAGTACCAGCATGTGCGTGAAGTACCTGTGACCGCGCTGTACGTTCTCCCCAGGATCCAGACCGGCTCCTTGGTCTCAGGAAAGTCTTCATACTCAAACCTGAGCGTATCATAGGTCAGCGTAGCTGGAGAGAAACGGGAGCACAGAGCTCACATGGAGGAGGGTTTGGGTTTTCCACTTTAAAATAATGGAGGACACATTCACGAAGGATGGATCGCTTCACAATCTCAGGCTCTGGGAACCCGTCGATGGGCCAGAGCTCTGCTGATCACACTAACAGCAAACACCGCCTCGCTCTTACCTAATGCGTTCCACCCTCCATCTCAAAGCACTTTACCGAGGTGCTGGGTATTGTCACCCCCATTTTACAGAGGGGAAACTGAGGCACGGAGCGGTGCAGTAAGCTGCCAAGGGTCCTCCAGCGGGCCATTAACAGTCAGGGTCAGAGCGCAGGTCTCGGTGCACTCCTGTGCTCTGCCCCTGGACCTCAGAGCTCTGATGAAATCAGCAAGCTGTGAAAAGCTCAGGATAGAGCCAATACACAGGAACTGCCAAGCCTGCTAAGGCCCATCTAGTTCAGAACCTCGTCTCGGACAGTGGCCAGTCCCTGCCGCTGCAGAGGAAGATACGAGAGCCTTGTAATAGGCACAGATGTAGGATAATCTGCCCCTTCCCAACACAGGCCGGTCTTTAAGAATCTGAGGCTGATTTAAGCCCTGAAGCAAGAGCTTTACTGTCCCTTCCAGAATGCCCAGATGTGCTATTAACAAACAAGTCCCTTTCTCCAGGGTCCCTTCTTTCTGGTGGTGCGGTGAGAAGCTTAGGATCAAGTCAGCATGGATGCTAAAAATCCCTCTCAAAGAGGGACCCCTGAGGCGTCTCAAAATTGCTCCCTCGTTAGAATCAAACACGCAAAAGTCTTTGCTCAGGAAAACAGAGTCTGCAGCCATGGAAGGGGAGAGAATGTCCTCTATCCGTGTCGCGCAGTAAGTCATGTGAAACAACGGGAGCTTTGCTGAGGCACCCAATCTAGAGGCTGCAGGCCTTGTACATTATCCATTCTGCTAGTTTCCCTCTAAACATAGCCTTGATCAGTACTTAGACGGCTGTCTTTGCTAATGTAAGGCTATGTCTAGACCGCGTCCAAGGAATGTGTCCGCTTTTTTGGAACAGTTTCTGAAAAAGTGATGTGTTCTTTCGGCATCCCTGTTCCTCTCGGTGAGAGGAATACGGGATGTTCCCAAAGAAGACTTGTTTCCAAATTTTGGCCCCGTGTAGATGGGCCAAATTTCAGAAAAGCTTCTTTCGGAAAAACAGCGGAAAAAGATACGCAAATTGGGAACTGCAATTTGTGTATCTTATTCCGACTTTTCTCGGCAGTGTAGACCTAGCCTAGGTGTCCAGCTCTGACTGCGCAGGATTACAAAACAATCTAGCGAAGGCGTTCCCGGTCAGGGCTGCGGTCCTGCCCACAGCGTGAACAAGCCAGTCTGCAAGGACTAGCGGAGTCAGAGTTACTGCTGGGAGCTTTGGGACGATGTTTTAACAGAAGCAGGACTCCAGGGGGTGGCTTGGGAATGGCTGATCTGAGCGCCAAGGGAAGTGCTCCCAAAGGAAGTCAGAAGATCTGAACTGAAACGTGCTCTTCCTGAACGAGCTTGGGCAAGCTCCACAGCAAACTGTCACAGCTTCACTCGGCTCTGCTGCTCAGACAAGATATTCTCAGCAACTGTTTTAGCTAAGACAAGATCCAATAAATTACCTAGTGATAGAACTGACAAGAAACAACAGCATACTCCATTGCCTCTCCATAACTTGTGGTCAAACCTCTTAGCTCAGCGGCCATCTCTCACTCAGAGTTTGTGCTGCTGATTGTGTACACAGTATAGACTTCTATTAAGGAGAGACAATGCAAAGTCAGTTTTCCCTGGGGGTTCACTGCATTCAGGGCTTGCCTACACTGGAAGGTTAGTTTAGATTAAGTGAGGTAATGAATTTAAAACACAATAGCTAATTGTGTAGACAAGCCCTCAGCCTTGTTAAGCATCATACGGGTGTTGTCAATGGCTGCCCTATGGTTTGTGCTACGACAACAGAACACTCATTCTACTCATTCTAGCTGCAGAAGTTCATCTATATGACATTCTGAAAAGCAATGCAAACAAGATGTTTTTGTCAATGTGACCCCACAGGCCTCACTTAGCTCTCCTGCCCCGTGGTCTAACCAACCTGGAACATCATGATTTGAGTGTCAGACAAAACGAAGGCAGCAGCAAACTGCCATCACTGGGTTAAACTGTAGTTTTCGTTAAGGAAGGGAGCCTGTCTACATAAATGGGGACTAATTCCAAATGAACACCTGGCTGGACAGACAAGCAAGTAGATTCCCTGTACCAAAGTTCTGTCTTCTTCCCCTACAGCAGTGTTTCTCAAACTGTGCTCCACGGAGCCCCAGGGGCTCCACAAGACATCTCCAGAGGCTCCGCGAGGTTGACAAACTGGAAACGTCGATAGGTACAACACATACAGTCAGTGGACCGCTGGGGCTCCACATACATTTTTACGCATGTAAAGGGCTCTGGAGCCCAAAAAGTTTGAGAACCACTGCCCTACATGGATCACATGTGAATGAACATGAGGGTCACCCCTATCCCAGGGCCCCTGCCTGCACGTCATACCGAGACAGCCTTGTGTCAAGCAGAGCATATCTTTACATAGGAAAATATTAATATGAAATAGCAGCAGAAAAAAGGATTATTGGAGCCAGACCCGTGCAACAGGCCACGTTTTGGTGCATCTTCTTTCTCCTCCTCCTCACTACAAACGACAAGCATTGATAGCACAAAGTCTCTGTGCGTCTGGTGCTATTTTTGAAAGATGGTATTTTCATAAGCCTGTATTTTGGAGTAAAAAACAATCTTCCCCCTCTGGACCTCCTCCTCTCTCTCCCAACCCCCCTGCAACTCACTGGCTTATTGGCAACCCACAGGTGGATTTATTATTAAGTTCTGCAAAACAAAGAACCTCAGACTGGCCACACTGGGTCAGAGTGAGTGCCCCACAGGGACTGAACAGAATAGGGAACCAAGTGACCCCTCTCCCGTTGCCCATCCCAGCATGCTAGTGCTCCAGGTACAGTTAGGGTTATCAGAGCATTTTCACTACACATCCCATTTCTAGGTGATCACACCTTTCCAAAAGTTCCACCCACTGGGTGGAAGCCTCCAGAGCTGGTTTATACTAAGGATGTGAAAGGATAACCAGAAACGGGTGGGGCTGGAACAGCTCCTCCTCAGCTGCGGGCAAAGGGCTGCTCTGGCATCCGGAGCAGGCTGGGCACCTTGCAGCCCCAACCACAGCGCAGGGTTGGAGGTGGGAGCCCCATGGGCAGCCAGGCTGGAGTGGTCCCCAGCCCGGATCCCGCTTAGTCAGTTAACAGGTTAAACGTTAGTTAACCAGGATTTTACATCCCTAGTTTATACCCAAAGGCAAATATCTAGACACATTTGAACAAAACAGTTCTGCTAATGCTGAGCAGGAGATGAATGGGAAAACACAAGGGAACGTATTTTCTCCACTCTAGATGTAATTGCTTCCTTGAAAGCTTCAGAGTCAAAATGGCTGGAAATAAGAGCTGGAAATTAGGCAGGCACAAAGCCTTTTGGCTGTTCAGCGGAACGTCAGTTGGGATTTGTCAGAGCTACAAGGTTCTGCACCCTGACTTTTAAATGTCTGTATTTTAACCAGCATCTCTGAGCATTCAGAACGGGACAGACGGTGCAATGGATATGCACGTGCAGATCAGAGGGGCACATTGGACAGGGCAGTCCATCTTCATTCAGTGCACATTTATTGCCTAAGCAGCCAAGGGGACCCAAAGCTCGCAGCTCTGCAAAGCGCACGCTCACAAAGGCAGGGCTGTCCTGCCTCATGACTCCAGGCATGGAGCTGTGAACCAAGCAAGGCCACGTCTTGCACCAGACACATCATCCCATTCCAGCAGCATCCCCCCAAAGAAGCACTGATTACAGAATTTCTTTTCCCTTTCAACTTGGCCTAGAACAAGCCATTAAAATTATACTGAGAATAGTTAGGGTTGCACAGTTCAGTACTCGAGTAAGGATGAACACAACCTACAACCGCTTCCTTTCGCACTGGTATTTAAGACAGTAAGTATATAAGCTACTTTCTCTCATAATACAAGGCAGCACTTACAGTCTTGTATGGTGTGCTTCTGTCAGTTTGCATCTTGTACGTAAATGACTGCTAGCATCAGTTTATCTGGCATAAGCAGAGCACTCCAGTGGTAGGGGATCCTAGACATGGATGCAGGCAAGTGTGTAAAACAACAGTATGACCTTGCACTATTTGAGAAACAGTACGGCTACGTCTACACTGGCCAGTCTTGCGCAAGAACTTATGCAAATGAGGCATGGTAATGAATATTGCGGTGCCTCATTTGCATACTTAATGAGATGCCATTTTTGCACAAGGGGCTTTTGCGCAAAGAGAAGTCTACCCTGCTCCTTGTTGCACAAAAACCCCCTCTTGCGCGAGAGCCGTTCTGCCGCTTATTTTCAGGCAAAACGGCTCTTGCACAAGAGAGTTTTTTTGCTCAAGAAGGAGTAGTATAGACTGTTCCATTGCACAAATATGGCAGCTCATTAAGTATGCAAATGAGGCATGGCAATATTCATTTCCATGCCTCATTCACCTCATTTGCATATGTCCTTGCGCAAGACTGGCCAGTGTAGACGTAGCCTATGTGATAATCAAAGACTATTTTAGTGCATAAGGGATGAAGTTAATATTGTGCGTGAAAACTTAGACATCTTCTGTACTTCTAAAGTCTAAACCTGGAAAATTAAATGTTCTTAGTTCAGTTTTAGCTCACTGATGCACAGATGCACACAAACAGGTGGAGAATTTTCTGACTTGTATATCACGTCACATTGCAGCCATCACACAACATTATTAAACACAAGGACTTTCACTCAGTGCCGTAAGCCAGTCTTATTACCCATGTTAACTTTAGTGCAACAAAGGTTAAAACATTGTAATACTTCTCCATGCATTTCCTTGTGTCTACCTACAGATTTAATAAGAAATCAAAGCTCTGATGAT